TCTTCTAGAACATGGCCACACAGCCTGAAAAACCCACAAAAAAAAATATGGATGCCGGCCATGAAAGCCTATGACTTCACAAAGTCCAATGAGTTTTTTCCTTGATTTACAATCTTGTCCCTTTATAATCTTGTCCCTAACTTTTATGACAGGTGTCCCAAAATCATTTTAATTTAATTGGGATTGCTGTTCCTGTGTGCCTTCAAGTCATTTCTGGAGGATCTATCATGAGGTTTTCTTGGCAAAATTTGCTCAGAGGAGGTTTGCCATAGCCTTCCCCTGAAACTGAGAAAAGTGACTTGTCTAAGATCACCCAGTGGTTTTCATTCCTGAGCTGGGAATTGAACCCTGGTCTCCAGATTCATACTCCAATACTCAAACCACTGCACCACACTGGAGTACATCAAGATAAAAATCTAAGTGGATCTTGTGGACTTAAAGAATGAACCTACTTTCATACTCTCCTACCTCCTTAAAACACTGCAACCAATGACCACTCTCTCTTTATCCAAGAATATCTTGAAACTAAAAATACCAACTGTAGACAAAATATAGACAGAAATACTGAGAATGGAGCACATGAATTATGCCCCCTATTGAGAAAAAGACAGGATGTAAATTAAATAAATAAGTAAATACTCCTGAACAGATTCCAGTTTTTCAGGTTACTCTATCAATCCTCCAAAAATGAACAAATAAATAAATGCATGTGAAATTAAAACATAATATTGTTGCTAGAACTTCAATAACTTTGGCTTTCATTGGTTGAACTTCCACAGACCTATGAGGAGCACAACATGTAATGTAATGTAATGTTTTTACATGTAATTAAAAACTTTTCTCTTTCACGATTGGGATACAAAAATTATTTTGAATGAAAGCTGAGGATTATTATTTTTCAGGAAGTTTAATTCTGTGCTAATTCCCCTAGGTATTCCCCTACAAAAGTAGGAAATGAGCAGAGGGTTTGAGTAGACAACTGGTTAATTATGCACTATGGGTATTGCAGGTTTACATTGAGGGATTTAGAAATGCAAAGGTAGAAATAACATATGTGTTACTGTACTTGTGAAGCTTGTTACACTTTCCAGCTCACTGATTTTTTTAAAAGCATCTTTTTAGAAATATTACATAGTCTACTGCAATGCTAATGAAAGAAATTTGACAGAGGCTCAAGAAACTTTTTTAAAAAACAGTGGAATACACATTGTAAAAATAGCAATAATGATGATGAGGTGTGGTTTAATAATATAGTCCATTGACAGATTATATAGCCAGAGGAAATCATAACATCGCAAAGTCCAAAGGAACACCCATTGAATATAGGAATTCATGTTGGAAAACATGTTTGTATTTCATATGTCCCTGAAAGATCGTTTGTGCTGATGTGAGTCTGTTGCCCCACTGTTAACTATAAATCATATCTTACGAAATTATATTTTGAGTAAGTCACTTTGGCCATTAGAGGTTGTGGAGGACTCTTTCAGTGATCAGCAGGAGAGCACACCTTTGGTTTCATGCCTTTAAGAAATGGTATCATACAGCAAATACAAGCCCGTGGATAAAACCTTTACAGTGACATTTTTTATAAAAAGAAACAACCACATTCTCTGTATGATGGCAACATTTTTTTCTACTCCTTTCTTTTTTGATCAGCATTCTTTTTTTTTAAGCCTACCCTGCATTTGTTGTTGCCGTCATTGTTTTGTGCCTTTAAGTCATTTCTGACTTACAGCAACCCTATTACAGGGTTTCTTTCCTATGACAACCCTATTACAGGGTTTCTTTCTTATTACAACCCTATCACAGGGTTTTCTTGGCACGATTTCTTCAAGGGAAGTTTGCCCTTGCCTTCCTCTAAGACTGAGAAAATGTAAATTGCCCAAAGTCACCTAGTGGGTTTCCATGGCAAAGTGGGGATTCAAACCTTGGCTTACATACTCTTTCTTTAAAACTAGACTGTAAACTTTGGGGGATTTGCTTTGAAGGAAGATTTAAATGTTATTCAAAATATAAAAGTTTTGTAGAGTTCAAAATTCTAATAAAGTACTTAGCGGAAATGTGGTTGTTTTTATTGATGATAGTGAGTGCCTTGCTCCAGAACTGTTGGTCACATCTTATCCAAGGGCTATTTCAGTATGGGAAACTGATATGTGTTACTGCTATAGCATAAATTTTATGTATGGTAAATGATGGACCAGATGGTACACAGCAGAGAAGCATTCCATCTCTTTTACTCATGAAGTCCAGCTTCCCTCACAGCCAATGACAGAATTATCCCCCCACACAATGACCCTCACAGCCAATGACAGAATTATCCCCCCACACAAATTCTACCCAGACTTAACCCTCTGGCTGGTAATCAAATCCCTAGTGCTACATATATAGGGCACCTGGATAACCATGCACTCCGTGCCTTGCTGAGGCAAATGGAAGATGGATTCCCAAAGGTTATTTAGTGCAAAAGTAAACAAAGAAAATCAAAATGCACAAGTATGGTCCATCTTCCCTGTGCTGTGGCCCTGCCTTTTCCTTCTTTCTTTTGCTATGGACATACCCAAAAAAGCCCTTTTTATTCTTCTTAACCCCTCTAGAAAGCCTGAGCTCATTCTCTGCTTTGGCTTTCCTG